AGAACCATTTCAAAATGGATTTTTTCCAGGAAAAAATGGTTTTGCAGCTAAAATTGTTCTGCTCCCCAAACAACTTGAGATTAAGGCTTTTTCTGAAGATATTAGGAGTCAGAAAATCCGGTGCCGGAGTTGGATTTAACGATGGAGAGCCCTTTGTTTGCCTCTTGTGTGGCGGAATGTAAGACATTATATTTGATCACTTGCTTTGCAATTTTGGTGAAAACTGAGTTGCTCTGTTTGCGTGATCATGGAACATTTTAGAGCTATAAATAATATGTTAAACTGCCCGCTGGAATACTTGAATTTTGAACAGACGCATTATATTAATGAGCATTAACATCTGGGTTGATGACCTTCTGAGCTTCTACTAATTACAGTTCTACAATGGTTCATTGAATTACGAGTACTAAATTTGATTTAATTTTAAAAGCTAAAAAGTTCATTTAACATCCAACATAATGGTGTATCAAATATAATTCTATTGGACAATTCAAATGATTTTCGATATTCCTATAGCCTGCATGAACTGAAACATATCTGAGTTTCTTACCATAAATGAGTTTCCTTTTCTTAAAAGAAAATCATAAAGTCTCCATATTTGACTGATCATGTTTTTATAGGAAAATGTTTAGAGTTAGTTCATTCTAACATAGCAACATTCACAATGTAGTCCTAAAGGCTAGAGAGCTTTGTGTAGGGGAGAAACGGTTAGACACAGTTGTTATGTTAATCCTTGTGTGAACCTCTTTGTATTCCGAGTAAATTGTGTGAGATTATTCTTCTCTACATTTTGTATTCTCTTTTATATAGTGAATTGATCATCTCCTTTGTGGATGTAAGTCGGTTGACCAAACCACGTTAAATATTTGTGTCTTTCGTTATATTTCTTATTTGTCTTCTTACTCATGGTATTTCGAGGTTTGCTTTGCTAACTTCCGCATGACACCTAATTATTTCAATCCTAACAATATAATCCCGAGATCCGAACCCGATCCCGACTCAAGACCCGACCTGAGAGAAAATTAGAAAATATTTTCTGGACATAGCAAACACATCCTAATTGTTTACTACTCATAAAACTTGCCTCTTGCAATTTTCTCTCGCTTTATACAAACACAAATACAATTTATATATTTGTGTTTGTATAAAAGTGAGAGAGATGAGGGAGAGTGGCGAGCGAGATTAGGGAGAGTGACGAGCGAGATTGTCACGACCCGATTTCTCAAGTCATGATGACACCTACTATAACCCACCAGCAGGTAAGCCAACCCGTAACCCGGAACAACAAGTAATGGGTCTGAGGGTAGAAACTAAACAAGAGTAGACAAATAACAATATAAACCCCCATAAGCCCGACGAGTACACATAATAACTATAACTAAAGAGAATTGCATAAAAGAACCCAAGAACGAAGAACACGAATCAGAACCTTAACCCTAATTAGTAAAATCTGACAGTACGGAGGCCGGACTTCGAACCGGATGCTCACCAGAAGTACCCAAGTAACCAATCACAGGTAACAAGTATAAGAGGCCGGAACTCTAACCGGATGCTCTATATAGGTATCTGAGCAATAGAGGCCGGACCTTAAACCGGATGCTCTATATAAGTATCTGGGAAATAGAGACCGAACCTTAAACCGGATGCTCTATATAAGTATCTGGGCGATAGAGGCCGGACCTTAAACCGGATGCTCTATATAAGTATCTGGGCGATAGAGGCCGGACCTTAAACCGGATGCTCTATATAAGTATCTGGGCGATAGAGGCCGGACCTTAAACCGGATGCTCTATATAAGTATCTGGGCGATAGAGGCCGGACCTTAAACCGGATGCTCTATATAAGTATCTGGGCGATAGAGGCCGGACCTTAAACCGGATGCTCTATATAAGTATCTGGGCGATAGAGGCCGGACCTTAAACCGGATGCTCTATATAAGTATCTGGGCGATAGAGGCCGGACCTTAAACCGGATGCTCTATATAAGTATCTGGGCGATAGAGGCCGGACCTTAAACCGGATGCTCTATATAAGTATCTGGGCGATAGAGGCCGGACCTTAAACCGGATGCTCTATATAAGTATCTGGGGAATAGAGTCCGGAACTCTAACCGGATGCTCTATAAAGGTGCCAATGTAGCTGTTGAAAGAGTCCCAATCGATCCATACTCAGAAATGTCCGTGGAACGCCGTCCGTACTTAGCTAATCAATGTAAGTCCTTGGAACCAAATTGAAAATCAAATTCAAACCGCGAAGTAGAACTAGTGTCGCCGATGTAACTCGTGAAACCGTAACATCGGGGAAAATAAGGATAACTATAATCGGAGAAAGAGTATCGCCTAACTAAGGCCTAAACTATCAGACTCAAGTCTGCTACACCAGTCTACAGGGATCTAAGCCGGCCGAGCGACGTCGAAGCAAAACTAAGGCCTATTGGATCCGAATAATGTATTTCTGAGGCAAACCCTAGTCAAACCTAAACTAAGGTCCAACATTCTTCGAATAAACAATAATTAAGCATGCAAGCACTCCACATAGCGAGGAGGGTCCGTTAATAACACAAAGCATGCTCACAGTTACCCGATAATTCCCGAAATAGGCCGAAAACATGATTTCTTAACACCTATGTAGGATTCAATAACTACCCAACCCAAATCCCAACTAATCAACATGCATTCACATTCTCGAGCTCAATCTAAGAGAGGGAAAACCGTAGCCTACCTGTAGGCCAATCACACGCGCTCCAAAATCACTTCTTCGGAGCTTTTCCTTTCCGAACGGTCTCGAAACACTGCCCCACTATCAAAAATAGAGTCACAACATTAATATGGTCGTTTAGACACCAAAATCACAACAAATGGAGACTGATCAATTTTGGAGTCGAAATGGGAATCGTGGGACCCGCACCGAACTGTTCGAATTTGACTCCGTCAAGACACCCTAAACAGCACCCCAAATTTGTGGTCCAAAATGGAACACAATTCGGGGATCAAAACGCATCAACACCCAACAAGCAAGAAAACCACACTTATATCAACTTAAAAGAAAACATTGCAATAGTCTAAACTTGAAATTAACGAGAATCAAAAAGTTCCCAGCACTCCTTGAACACTCTACGACGAAGACACGATAATTTTCAATACGTGGGACTTCGAATCACCCAAAACCGAGCTAAAATGAGTGAGATATGATCAAAACAATAATGCCAAAAACCACAGCTCGAAAAAGGGTTCTGCAGTCAGGTTAATTACGAAATTTACCTCAAACAGAGACCCCAAATCACTATCTGAGCTACCAACGCGTTGTCCTCGAAAAATCTCACAACTTTGCCTTTTGAATCGCCCAAATCGGTTGAGAGATGAGAGAGTTATGAGGGTTTAAGTTTGGGAATATGTTGCTGTTTCTCTGCATTTATTGCAGAAAATCTATAATTTTTCCCAAAATTAAAAACTCCGACGGGGTGCTCCGAACTCGTTCGGAACCCCGTGCACGCAAACGAGATATGCAACCATACCAAATTTGATATTTCAGACTCAACGGCGCAGTCAAAATTTCCATCAGAGGTCATTTCGATAAAAAGTGGATCCCACTTCCAAAGGCCATTTTAAGTCAAAAACCACAAAAGGGCTCGGAAAGATATCGAAAACCTCGGGACACAAAAGAAGGGTCAATCTAGACCAAACTTGATATTTCGGAGCTAACCGCGCTGACGAAATTCTCATCCGAGCGCGTTTACTCAGAATGTTGACCAAAGTCAACCTTAAGCCAAATTTCAAAGGCTAAAACGCCTAATCGCACCGACTCACACTGAAAACCTCAGGAGTCATGTTGACCATGCTACTAGCCTAAAATGACCCTTCTGGAGCTGATGGAATTATTAGAATTGGATTCTGATGTCATCTTCTCGAACTTTTGATCGAAAATGATCATTCAAGGTTCAAAAGCTCCAAAACACTAAAACTCACACCATAACCAAACGAACGACCAGGTGACCGAATTGTCAGTCCCAGCAAGTCATAAATGACTTGGGGTCGCTATAGGAATGCTCTAAATGACACACAGAAGGCAAGACACATAAATGACCTGGAGGGTCATTACAGAGATTTCTGGGGAGAAAGGCTAATGACAAGTGTTTGCTACATATTAGAATTAAATGAAATTGTGGTTATAACATTTAATTTGAATTAATAATTTGTTATTTTATACAATTTTTCCAAATAAAAAATTGATGGTACTGTGTGTGTTTCATTAGCACCTAGTCTTGTACCATACCTATGCTTTGTCCACCACCTTGAACTTCTTTCGTCGCAAGAAAACTTTTTCTCCTAAATTGGACTCGGTCGGGTAGAAACATGTTGGAGGAACCAGTTCTTTGCTTACACTCCCCTTTCGTCAATCATCAAAATCTTGTTCGATCCAACACATTAAATAAAAAAGAAACTGACCAAGTAAAACCTAATTCCACTAATACTAAAAAATAAGACCATGATATGTTATTGTGCGTCTGATTGATTTTTGGAGAATCGGACAACACTATGGTAAAATCCTCATACCAATTGTTATTTCTTAGGGCGGATAAAATCTAAAGTGGATAAGTAAAAATGAACAAAAGGAGTATAAGTTTGTTTTACAAGGTTTTTTTTCTAGAAAAAGGTTTTCAAGCTAATGTTGGTGTTTTCAGGTTTTGAGGTTTAGTTTAATAATGCAATCCAACCATTTCTCCAGATGACCTTGTATTTATGGATCCTATAGAAAACAAAAATTAGAATGGAAAACTTAATATGACAACTCAATAATAAGCTCAAGTAAGATGCTTTATTCATTACAGCTTAACAACAAAACTATTTAGAATCTTATCCAATGTTACTAACATCTTGGGCCCTGCTTAATTTGTGCAATTCCAAAACTACACATAGTGCAATAACATTTTTCAGTGTTTTTCGTTCATCTCCAGTTCTTACTTCAGCAGATCGATAGAAAGTGAAGGGGAACAAAACATGGTCAGCATGAAGAACCATCAAACAAACAAAGATCCCAGATTAACTTCAAGTTGTTTTCCAGCATTTCAAACATCAGATCTTCGTCCATTGTTTGCTTCTGCATTTTTTGCAAGAGAACGAAAATCAATTCAATTATTTCAGCAATGAAGCGGAAATTCACAAATTAAAACAGAAAGGATTATCAGCATTTTGTTTGTATTTCCGTAGCACATGCAAGTTGAGGTACCATTCAGACATTCACTACCATGACATGAATTTCTTTGAAGACTAACAAAATTTGGACAAATTCTACCCAACTGGAAAGCAAAACCTGATTTGAAACAGTGGTAAGTTTGTGTTGCTCCAGTTTTTTGGATGAAATTGTTCATAATTCAGAGGATAAATCAGCGAGTGTGGTACAGGATACAATATAATAGTCTAAGCTTATGATGCTAAGAACACTACAATATGATTTGGGGTAACATCATACCATCCATCATGTATATCATGCAGTGACATCCAAAATTATAAAGCAAAAAGAAATGTTATTGCAAGTACAGAAAGAGAACATACTCGTAACTCTGATATAATTCCAGGCATTTTCAGGAAAATCTCCTGTGTATCCTCACCAGCTGAAGATTTGAAATCAAATCGATCTGCATGCCAAAGCTTAAATCTAATTGATGAATTTCTATATGATTTTGCAGTTGTGTGACCGATACCAATAACAGCATATTGACCACCTGAAGAATCCTTGCCAATGGGCCATCTCAAGCCGCCCTGAACTTCTGAATCCAAAATGGCAGAACCAATAAGATCTTTAATTCCATTTATCTCCTCATCCTGTGAAAATGCAAACTAAATCACAACACTCATTAAATTCTACAAGGAAACATAGAAAAGTTTATTGCATAACTTACAGATAAAATCATGTTGATTTTCTTGGTATATAGTATCAACCTCAGATCTGAACTCTTTCCAAGACAGCTCATATCTGCTACCATGTAGCATACACTGTTCAACTCAATCTAAATAAAAAGGGATTCATGTCAAAGGGAGTCGTTTTGTTAACGAATGATGGTAATAACTGTTATTGCTTTTCCAACCATATAACATACTAGAATATGATTAATGAAGAAGCAACATGAATAAAGTAGTAACTAACCTTATAGAGCTCAATCTTATTTTAATCTTTGGCAACAGTACATTTGCAAGAAACAGTTGAATTAGGTCTCAACCTATCAGAAAGCTACAAAAACAAAAGGATATATAGAGCTAAGGGAAACAATATAGCTGGAGGAAGACATTTGTTTGAAGCTTGAAAATCATACCCGTATGTTGTACAATTCTTTCCCTTTCACATATTCTAGCCCGAGTTTCTCAACAACTCGGTGTTCTATGTAATCCATAAATGCAGCAGGAGAATTTGCATAAAATTTCCGTTTCATTTTTCTCACTGTTGCTTCACTCAATGGGGTAGTTTCCAGGGATTCTTCACAAATTGAGGAATTCCTGCACACACAGCTCTCGAATTAAATGTTGACAGATGCAGTGTCATTCAGGACGTAAAAAGCTAATGCTTCAAAGACTACAAACAAATATTCGCTATTAATAGTGAATTCAAATGACACATCTGTTGCGATTCCAGTTGTTATAAATTCCTATCATGATGATAAAACTTAACTTGTGATTAAAAGAAGACTGACCTATAAAAGAGGATTTTTCCAAAACGAGCAACTACAGACGGCTTTACTTGTGCCATCTCACGCTTCATATGTTGAAATGCCAAAAGTAAATCCTCCTTCTCATTTGCAGCTACCAAAAGCCATGGTGTATCGATAAGTTTGTTCGGCATTCCTTCACTGCAACCTAGAAAAGCATAAATATTTGAAAGAAAACTGAAATAATTAACATCTCAAAAGCATAAATGTAATGTGAATTCATGAATCTAATGTGTATATTCAACCATGTTCATCACTGTGTGTCGATCACCAATTCAATTCAATATAAGGTTGTACACAAATCGAATATGCAGACAACTAGAAATTGATGAAAATACAGATACATTAGGACATACATATCTAAAACTACTCTTCCGGTGAAAAAGAAAAAGGTTATACCTTCCATTAGAACCAACGATAGAGCTTTTCTGTCTGGATTTCCATCAAAGTAGTCTGCAGAAAAAGGTTGGAGGCCGACAAGAGATAAAAATCGAGAATAATCAGCCAAGCCAACGGAGAACCATTTCGAAACAGCAAATTTTCTGTAAACGATGGTCTTTCCTCGAAAATTGTTCTGCTCCCCAAACGACTTGAGATTAACGCTCTTTCTGAAGTTATTAGGCGTAAGAAAGTCCGGTGCCGGAGTTGGATTCAACAACGGAAAGCCCTTTGTTTGCCTCTTGTGCGGCAGAATGTAAGCCATTATATTTGATCTGTTGCTTTGCACTTCTGCTGAAAATTGAGTTGCTCTGTTTTTTGAACATTTTGGCGCTATAAATAATACAGCTGCTTGCTGGAATACTTGAATTTCAAACAGACACATTATATTAATGAACATTAACGTCTCGGTTGACGACCCTTTGAGCTTCTACTAATTACACTTCATTGAATTACGACTACTATATTTGATTTCATTTTAAAAGCTAAAAGGTTCATTTAATATCCAACATTATAGTGTATCAAATATAATTCTATTGGACAGTTCAAATGATTTTCAATATTGCTGCATCGAATTGGAATATGTGTTGGGTATTTGCTCTGAGTTTATGAGTTTTTCTTTTCCTTGAGTTTATGAATTTTTCTATTTTTAAAAGAGTTTGATAAAGTAGAAGTCTAACATAGTCTTAACAAGTCATCTAAAACATCAAATAAGTGGTTGGGGTGTCACTCATACACCACATACATCATCCAAAAACTAGAAAGACATAAAACAAGTAAAAGTGTCTCGCTCCTCATAAAATGAGGACTCACCAACTCTTGAATTTGATAGAGTGATCAACTAGCCACGAGTGTGAGAAGTGGGAGCGTCGGACCCTATATTAATGAGACAATGTAGACACAAGTATGCATTAGTACATGAAATGGACTAAATATGTGGCAATATGCATATATAGACATGGTATCATGAAAAACTTAAACACGTGAGATATGACCAACATTTGAGCATTTAAAGGCTTAAGGAAACAACATATATTTCATAAGATATGGTCAACACATTTAAAATAAGAGACATAAGAAAGCTTTTGAAGAAACATATTCGTTTTAGTTTTTTTGGGTATTAGCTTTAAGCGACAAAAAGACCATGAGAGCTATATCATGGAATCTGATATATCCCTCGTACCGAAAGAAGGGGATTCTACTTGCCAAGGTAGAATCCGTACACATCATCTTTTGCTAAAGTGGATCTACTAGCTAGGTCATTTAAGACGATCCTACGGGGTATGTAGTTAGGGACTAGAGATTGCTACCAGAGACTACCCTATTTGAGCCTCCACCTCAAATCCCTCTCGGTGCTAAGTCTAAATCCCAACGGAATAGATAAGAATCAAATATCATTATAACATAGGAAAGACTATGGTCAATACTAATCCTCATCTTAAAAATCAAAACATATAATAGCTCCTTAAATTACAATTCAAGCATAGGTGAGAAAACCTTTCACTAATATGAATCTATATGTGAGAAATACATTTCATAATCATGATCATAAGACTATGTCTTATGTGAGAACCTTTCACAACAACATTGATACTTTCATTTAAAAGCACCATATCATCATAAACATCATTTTCATAAGACATGCATAATTCTTCAAAATTCATAGTTCATGAGTTCATCATAAGTTCATAATTGAAAGTCATGGATCATGTTTGAGAAATGGAGGGGTGAGTTCTTGATTGATTGTGAACTATACCCCAAAACCTTTAGTTGGAATTGAAGATGAATGTGGGAGCTGGTTGAAAATTTATCTGCATTTCAATATTTGACCTTAAATCCTACTTATGTATTATAGAATTTCAATCTACTTGTGAATGTGGCAAAATTCTTGGCTGTGAATCTGATAGTAAGATTTGATATGTACTGTGCAACACACGCGCGCGCGCACAGACACGTAGAATATGCATCTTGGACCAATCAGCCTGATATGTGAGCGTGTGTGTTGCACAGAGCAGATATCAATCAGAAAGATTTAGAAGATAGCACAATCTGATATACTTTATTTCTATAGGTTGGAGTTGGTGGTCATTCGATTGAATAATGGCGCTTGCCCCTCATTCAAACTTTCTGTGCAATCATGAAACCATCAAATGTCAAGTTGGATCAAAGCTTCACAGTCATACAAGATTTGGCTGGGGTAGAGCAGATTGCTTTGGTAGTATAGTCATAGTGAAAATTTGTTCCAGAAGACAGCTGATACCTACGTACTTGCAGAAATCTCCTAGAATGCGCTGTGGTTTGGATTCTAGAGGTCTGCAACTATCATCACGGGGGAAACAAAATCTTTCTTCTGCACATAGCATTAACCAGAATGTACCTAAGGTGAGTTTTGATAAAATTTTATTATGTTGCTTCTCTTTTACTACTTTACGAAGGAATGCGGGGATCTAACTCTCTCCTCTGCATCCTCTTCTTTCTCTTTGCTGACAGAAGTCCTCTATTTAGGGAAATACAATATGCAAATTTCCAGAAGATGTAGCTTTGATGGTCTGGAAGAAATGGGGCCAATTGGCCAAAACAGCAATTGTAACTCTATTCATTTTGTCAGTTGCTTCAAAGGCTGATGCTCCCAAAACTTGTACTTGCTTACTGAAAGAGTGCAGGTAATTGTGCAGATGTTACTAAAGTATGCCGGTATACTTCCTTGTACCGAGTGTAACATCCGACAATTTGAAATAGCTAAGAAGAGGCTTAGAATTTGAAATTTTCATTTTTTTGGAAAAGATTTGAAATTCTGGAAAAAATTGGCTAAGTATAGAAATCTGTGATTTTTGGCCAACTTTGAGCAGTCATAACTTCTAGCTCAGGATGAGTTAGGAGTAGTTCCAGTTATGGTTGTGTAGCTTGTGGAATGATCTTTCCAACGCCGCTGAGTTTTCTCAATTCCGAGTTCGTATGAGCGAGTTATTCCCGTTGAAAGTTGAGCAGTTGGCAGGGAATCCGTCCGGGAATCATTAAGGGCATTTTGGTCTTTTCCCTAGCTATTTTCTTTTGAGGATATATTGTTGTGTTAGGATGATTTTTGGATCTTTTATTCCATTGTAAGAGAGTAAAGGCTAGGGCTTGAGAAGAAGAGAAGAAGAGAAGAAGAGAAGAAGAGGAGAAGGAGAAGAGGAGAGGAGATTAAGAAGTTTCCGACAAGATCATCGTGGGATTTTCGTCGGGGGTGATCCCTACCGAGGTATGTGAACTTTTAGTGTTGGGTGATCCTTTCCCCCACACACCTAGCCCTTCTATTTATTGAGAAAGGATTGGATTCGTTGTTGAAATTGTTGGAATTGTTGTTAAGGTTGTTAGTTGTTGAAGTTGATAGTTACATTGTTTGGTTGGTAGTTGAGTTGTAATCTATGGTATGTTGAGGGATTTTTGTACTTCCATGTGTATGGGGCTGAAACCTTGTTTGGGAGGGTTTAGAGCTGGAGAAAAGGAGTATCCCAGAATTAGTCAGTTTCTCAGGAGCAGTCGACGGACTAGAGGTACGGTCCGTAGATCGATCTACGGACCGTCGATCCCCTCCGTAACTCTACACTTAGAATTCTTCAGAAATTCAGGAATTGGAACCCCCTCAGTATCATCTACGGACCGTTGATGGTCACCGTGGTTCCACACTTGGTCATTTTTTTCCCTGAATTGTCCTCAATACCTTGCCTGCTGATCTACGGTCATGACCTACGGACCGTGAATGGACCTACGGTCCGTAGATCACTTCCGTAAATGCCATGTTTCTGCATTTCTTCTTGTACCTATGTCTCCAAGTTGCTTCCAACACTTCAAGTTGTGTTTAAATGTCTAGCACTCTTTCATAACAGGTGACTATATCCCTTGAATCCATAATTCAATTCAAGGCGAGTTAGAATCAAGTTAAAGAGAAGTTAGAGTCAAGTCAAGCAAGTTTTCAAAGTTGTTCGAGAGTCTTTATTGAACGTTTTACTTCATTCTAAGGCTCAAGTTGCAAGTCAAGTAAAGAGTTTAAAGTTGAGTTCATTTCTCAAAGTTATTAGGGAACTATGTATTCCCAAAGGAGTTTTTAAAGAAATGTTTTTACATTTAAACAAGGTTGGAAACTGAGATTTCCAAAAGAGCCTTCGGGCAAGTTTTTGAGTAATTATCTCATATCAGCAGGAAGAAATATGTTTTAAAAACATAAGAGCCAGTACATTTTTGGGAGTAGTATCGAGCACCGAATTGGGGGAGCGTTCAAAGAACCCACAGCCCCATAGAACCATGTTAGCCATCATAGGTAGAAGAGGATCATACTTTTTAGATGAATCCTTTTCAGATTAGACTAGTGGATCCATTAGGCAGTTCAGGTCCTATATCTTTGGCCGGGAATAGGATGCTCTGGCAGCGTGAGGTTGATCGCTGTATCATCACTATAGCTCTTATGTGATGGTTGTCGGTTAGAGAAACTCCCACAACAGTTATTGTATTTCATACACAAAGATTATTGTATTTTTATATACATCAGTTCATTTGTATTTCTATATACATCTCAGGCTTATTGTATCTTTGCATACACACAGAGTTTATAGCATGTTTTAAACAGTCTTTCTTTATATCGTACTTGTTTTAAATTGCCTTATATTGAAAGAAGTCAGTCAGGTTGAGTTGAGATGAGCCAGGTAAGCTATTCAGTTTCATCCAGATCTCCTTCTAGCCTTTGTTGCTTAGTTCCAGCTCGCATACTCGTACATTCCATGTACTGATGCCAGTTGGCCTGCATCTTATTATGATGCAGATTCAGGTACCCCGGATCAGCATCCTGCACGTCGTTGATCCAGCTGAGCACTCCAGAGTCAGTGGTGAGCCTCCTTGCTTTCCGGAGGACTCGGTTATTTTTGTGTTTCTAGTTTTATTTTGTTAGGATGTTGCGGGGACTGTCCCAACATCCATCTCAGTATGTTAGAGGCTTCATAGACAGTCAGTCAGTTAGAATTGAGTCTCTTAGCTATGTATATGTATGTTTATGTAAATATTCTATTTTGAGACTCGAGTTGCCCCTTGGGCCATATTTTTATCAGTTAGGTTATTTATGTCTTTGCAGGGCATTGAGTTATTCTATTGAGTCAGGTTTCCGCTGAGTTAAGAAAGCCAGGCCAAGGGTTCGCTTGGGGCCAGCAATGGTCTCCGAGTGCCGGTCCCGCCCAGGGTGTAGGCTCGGGGCTGACACCGAGCTACCAATATATTTTGCTTTGCTACCCCTTGTATGTTTCCTTCAAGAGTTCTGACCTTGTTTACTTTTATCCCATATAAAAATACATAAGGAATGTGAAATTGGTTCTTGTTTGTACTCTGTGGATTATCATCCTGGCTTAATAATTGAGTGGTAAGGATGTCAAATTCAGTTTTCACAGACATAGACTATCTCTAGCTTCTTATGATCAACTATCCATAAGTCCTTGATTCTAGTTGTTATTATCAATGAACTCAAGTTTTAACCATAACCCCAACCGGTAATGCTTTTCCATCTAATTCCTTTCTGATTTTGAGACTTGTTAAGACTTTCTGTGTTCTAATTAGGCCATGAGAATAGCAGTATGAATTTGACTTAGTTTCAGGAAGTTTTTTCAGACCATTATGGTGGTAAAAATAACTGATACTGTTGCTGTGCTAGGGATGCAGGAAAGTTTCTACCAGTATTCCATTTTCCCTGAAACTCAAAAGATAGCTTAATTTGTTTCGATGAATGTGCCAAAATTTGATGAACTTGTAAAGATATAGTCACACAAATGTCTAAGGTTTATTTTAGACCACAAAATTCGGAAGTCTTCTATTCTTTGTTAAACTTTTTGCTAAGTCAAACGGTCCAACATAATTAGGACGGAGGGGAGTAGTATTGATGAGTTTCCACCTCCATTCCAGCATGCATGTCTGACACTCTTAGGTGACTTATCGAAGTATTATGCTTTCAGGATAGAGCTTGCGAAGTGCATCGCAAACCCTGCATGTGCAGCTAATGTTGCTTGTCTCCAGACTTGCAACAATAGACCTGATGAAACGGAATGTCAGGTGTCTACAAACATCTTATTAAAACTGAATATTGATTTGATCACATTTATGGAATATGGGTGCAGATAAAATGTGGTGATTTGTTTGAAAACACTGTTGTAGGTGAGTTCAATGAGTGTGCAGTCTCCCGGAAAAAATGTGTACCTCGTAAATCTGATGTTGGTGACTTTCCTGTACCTGATCCAAGTATTCCCATCCAAAGGTTTGACATGAATGATTTTAGTGGAAAATGGTACATCACTCACGGTTTAAATCCCACATTTGATGTTTTTGATTGTCAATTGCATAAGTTCCATACAGAAGGAAACAAACTTGTGGGAAATCTGACTTGGAGAATAGGGACACCTGATGGAGGATTTTTCACTCGATCAGCAGTGCAAAAATTCGTGCAAGATCCAAAGTATCCCAGGATACTCTACAATCATGATAATGAGTATCTTCACTACCAAGAAAGAGGTTGGAGCTTCACAAGTGAGAATCATCAGTCAAACCAACAGGGAACCATTTCCTAACTATAAGGGCAGAAATGATGCATGGGATGGATATGGCAGTTCTGTACTTTATACAAGAAGCTCAGTTTTGCCTGAAAGCATTATATATACCTGAGTTGCAAACTGCAGCCCAAAAAGTTGGTCGTGATTTCAACACGTTCATAAAAACAGACAATACTTGTGGCCCTGAACCACCCCTTGTTGAGCGTTTGGAGAAGAAAGTGGAAGCAGGAGAGAGGACAATCATAAAAGAAGTTGAGGAAATAGAAGAAGAAGTTGAGAAGGTGAGGGAAAGAAGTCAGCTTGTTCAGTAGACTGTTTGAAGGTTTCAAAGAGCTGCAACAAGATGAAGAAAACTTTATAAGAGAGCTCAGCAAAGAAGAAATGGATATTTTGGATGGACTTAAAATGGAAGCAACTGAAGTAGAAAAACTCTTTGGAAATGCATTACCAATAAGGAAATTAATGTAAATATTGCTAAGAGAGTAATATTAGAAACTATCCAAATACAGAATGTATAGCTTGTATTTAATATATTTATCTTTTTGCCTGGAATAGATTCCTCATATATCATGTAATGCTTCTCTCTTAGAGGCATAAATAATACATCTTCTCCTTTAAAATCCCATTCTGGTGTTTAACTGCAGACATTGTAAGATTTTTCCTCTATGCATCAATATGCTATTTACATTTCCCAACATTCAGTAAAATCAAATATGTGAACTCAGCAGTTCGATCCATTACAAAACAGAACTATTTACAATCTTATCTAGTGTTCCTTACTGATGCCACTAACATTAGAGGCCTTGGTTCATTTCATTCCATACACAAAACTATATAGTGCAAACAGCATTCAACATTTTGAGTTTAAAAATTCAGTTATCTACATCTATATATTCCACCACTGCAAACTACAAAAGGTAACTTTCTTCACCAACCGAACATAGCTTGTGAGTCTAGCAGTTTCTGCAGATATTTTGCAAAGAGAAAGTGAAGGACCATAAAATATGGTCAGCTTGAAGAACCATCATGCAAACAGTGATCCCAGATTAACTTCAAGTTGTCTTCAAGCATTTTAAGCACCAGGTTTTCATCAATCGTTTGCTCCTGCATTTTCGGAAAGAAAATGTATTAAATTAATTATTTCAGTAGTGAAGAAACAGAAAGGCTTATCAACTGGATTGGAATCAGTGATGAAATTTTGTTGCTCCAAATATATTACCAATAGAAATATACATAATTGCTCATTAGAAGAAAACCTACCTGCAATTGGGATAAAATCCCAGACATTTTCAGGTTAGCTTCCTGTGCAACCTCACCAGTTGAAGATCTGAAATCAAATCGATCTGCATGTCTAAGCTTAACACTGAATGCGTGTGAAGAATATCTTCATTTCTACTTTTTGCCTCTGTATCCTTTTTCCTTTTTTCTCTCTTCTACTTACCCTCCTTTGGATTTCATCGTAGAAATGATTCATAACTAGCTCAATCCAGTTACTAGAGGACTCCAATAACGCGCAGTATTTGAGCATTTTAACCCTACTGGTCAGCACAATAGGCTATTCACTTTGCTGTTCACAAACATCGAACCCTCCCCCAAATCCACGAAACATGAAAAAACAAGAAATTTCAACCAAGAGTAACTGAATGGACATGTTTCCAGTACAGAAAATATCAAATATTGGGTGGAACTTAAAAGTATGAGTATACGACCTATGACTTTCAAGATATTTGATCCTCAATGAAGTAACTTACAGATAAACCCGTCATGATTTTCTTGGTATTTAACATCAACCTCAGGTCTAAACTTTTGCCAAGACAGCTCATGTCTGCAACCATGTTGCGTACTAGGTTCAGCTCAATCTAAAAGAAAAAGCATAGCGTCAGAAGATTGTCAAGGAATGACAAAGTGCAAAAAAGTAAAGCATGCAAAAAGATAGGTAAGAGGAGGTAAATATGTTCAAGACAACAATTAATGTTGTTTTACTAAAGTTGGAAAATGAACTGGGGAACTGAGAACTAACCTTATGGAGCTGAATTTTCTCCTAATCCTTGCCCACCGTACATTTGCAGGTGCCAGTTGAATCAGCGCGCATGTTGTCTGAAAGCTACAAAGCACAAGGGATAGTACTAAAAGAACCAACGCATAAAGAGAAAGAAATTTGTTAGTAACATGAAAATATTACCTTGATATAGTATAATTCCTTCTCCTCCACATATTCTAAGCCAAGTTTTTCCAGTGCAAGGTTTCGCATATATTCCATATATAAAAGAGGAACATTCGTATAGAAAGATTTTCTCATTTGCCTCAACATAGTTTCACCCAATGGGTTACTATTCAGGGATTTTTCACTATTTGCAGAAATCCTACATCACAGAGAATTTGAGGATTACATGTTAAACATGCATTGGATTTAATCGACTCAACAAAGTACTGCTTCAGACACTGCAAAAGAAGAAACATTATAACATCTAGGAGAAAAGTTAAGAGGTTACATGTCAAAGTAAGATAAGTTAGTCCTAATTTGCCTTACAAGACAAAAATTTGTGTACTATAATAAAATGGATTTGAATACAGCTGATATACAGAGAATTCATATAATGACTTCCAACTAGAGTTGAATTAATGCATAGCTGGTTGATTAATTATTTTCTAGAAGTAATACAACTTGGAAACTTAATACAAGAAATGAACAATACTAACCCATGAAAGAGAATTCTTCCAAAACGAGCAACTAGACTCGACGTTAATTCTTCCATATTAGGTTCCTCCATTTCACATTTCACATGTTGAAATGACAAAAGTAAGTCCTCCATCACATTTTTAGCCACCAAACGCCATGGCTCATCCATAAGCTCATTCGTTCCTCCATTGTAACCTAAAAAAGTAGATATATTAAAGAATTAAGATCTCAAAAACAGAGAAAAAAGATTTTACATTGTTTGAAACCCTGATCTACCAAACTCAAGAAAATCAGAAGCATTTATCAAAAGAACAAAAAAGTAGTAATACCTTGCATTAGGACCAAACGAAGAGGATTTGCGTCAGATTTTTGGTCGATAGAAAGAGGTTGGAGCTTCACAAGAGATGAAAAGTGAGAATCATCAGTCAAACCAACAGGGAACCATTTCCTAACTGCACCATCAGCATAACGGGTCTCAAACAGAAACTTTTCCTTTCTCTTGAAATTCAAGTTTTTTCTGAAGGCAGGTATCAGTGATTCCGGTGCCGGAGTTGGTTCCGGCAACGGCGAACCTTTTGTATGCCTCTTGTGTGGTGGAATGTAAGACATGGCTCAGTACGATCAGTTGCTCGGAGAGACTGTTCAGTTGTAGACTACACTATAGTCTTCTTACAAACTTAGACTACATTATGTGGTTATCAATACAAAATAGATTGCTTACAAAGGAGAGACTGCTGAATATGAATATACAAGTAGAAAACAGTACATGTTGCATGTGTCAAGACTAATCCAATTTATTTGGAGTTTATTTTATTGAATTAATCTTATTAATATATTTTGAAAATTTAAACTTAGATGCCATTACTTTATAAAGTTATTTAATGATTAAAAAACAACATTAAATAAAAATAATAATCTTGTTTTGATTTTGTTAAAATAAATAAATAAAATGAAAAAATTGTAAATGAACATCTTCTTCAACTATGTAACATAGGTGGACTATATAGATTGAGTGGGTCCCAAAAAACTACATGAATATTGAGACAAATAGTCCCTTATCTTTATGTTAAGATTCAAAGTTATTCTTAGTTTTCACATAAAGCACTAATAGTCTCTTATGTTAGCAGTATTGGTGTACTTTTGATTGTCCCTCGAATTTTTGCCAATTTTTAACATTGATTTGTCCACAATTTTATTTATGGAGCGCTCAATCATATTTTTATATATCCAGTAGAAATAATAACTCCATATAGAGAAGGTGAGAAGAACATATTGACATATGACGTTGCAAGAAAAGAAAATATTGTACTACTGAAATCGACGTAATTAATCTCTCGATTTTAGCTACAATAATATTTCTACTAAACAAAACAAGATGTTCTTATTCTTACCTTCTCCCAAATGGAGTTACTATATATATATATATATATATATATATATATAAAGACGATTAAACATTTCATATTAAATTGTGGATAAAATCAATATTAAAAAATGGATAAAAATTTGCAAACATGTGAGACTATTAGTGCTCCATGTGAAAACTCAAGGATGACTTTGAATCTTAACTCAAAGATAAAAGACTATTTTGGGTCTTTTCTCAAATGAAATAGTTAACAACTTTGAGGCTCTTTTAATGAGTTAAATTAGGTTGTACTATCCTTTATTCATCATAAATATATACAGAAGACATCAACACATACAAATATTAAATACCAAAAATACCCTTTAAGTAGTTGGTTAAATTTAGGATTTTAAGGCAATCAAAATAGAAGTACATTTTTAAAAGTAGAAATGTGCAGACACAATAATGCTAACACTAAAAGAAACCCCTAAAATACTCCCTAACCCAAGGTAAACAAGCAACTCAACTCTCCTTTCTATATAGGTAGTAAAGTAAAATAAAGTAAAAGTAATATATCCAAAGTATCTAATATGATTAAAAAGAATTTATTAGGCATAACAAACATTTGAGATGAGATATAAGACTAACACTATGCCTAACATTGGTGTTTTCAGAATTTGAGGTTTTTAGAAAATTCCAACCTTCTATATCTTGATGAAGGACTTCGAACCATCGTTCAATATCTATCTTGTATTCATGGACTCATTAACACCCATAGGAAAACCAAATTAGAATAAAAAGGATCGATGGTGTATCTAGATTTTGCTTAAAATGCACTTGTGCCCGTAATTAAGTAGAAAGCTAGAATCACATATACATTTGCTATCTATGTTGCTCAAACTCTTCAAAAATATCATTAAGTGTGTGTTAGATCCTTCAAAAGTAGTGCATTTCTGAAGGACCAGACACAGATGAGGCCACATTTTTGAAAAGTCTGAGCAACTTAGGTTGTTAACTGTTCAATAAGCTGTTAGTGCCGAACATCATATGTAAAACGAAATGTGACAACTCAAGTAAGATGTTCTATTCATTGCAGCTTAACAACAAAGCTAATTACAGACAAGAGGGAGCTGCTTGGATGGTAAGCAGTAAGCACCCCTCACTTCCAACTCTAAGACTGTGAGTTCGAGCCATCTAATAGACAAAGATCCCACATTAACTTCAAGTTGTTTTTCAGCATTTCAAACACCACATCTTCATCCATTGTTTGCTTCTGCATTTTTGATAAGATAATGAAAATCAAATCAAGTCAAGTTGATGCTTATACTAAGAATACTATGCTATGGTTTCGACCAACACCAACCAACGTTGATGTATCATGCAGAGACATCCAAAATTGGAAAACATAAAATAAAATGAGAAACGTAATTGCTTGTCATCAGGAGAAGAGAACCTACATGTAACTCTGATACAATTCCAGGCAATTTCAGGAAAATCTCCTGTGTAACCTCACCAGTTGAAGATTTGAATTTAGATCGATTTGCATGTCGAAACTTAAACCTAATTGATGAATTCCTATATGATTTTGCAGTTGTGTGACCAATAACATTAACAACATATCGACCCCCTGAAGAATGGCGCTTGTTTAAAGGCCATCTTAAACCACCCGGTAATTCTGAGTCCAAAATGGCAGAACCAATAAGATCCTTAATTTCATTAATCTCCTCATCCTGAAAAATGTGAAGAATTATCTAAAGCACAACACTCATAGAAAGACTACTACTGCAAACAATCAAATAAGAGAATTACATCCGACAGTTGTGAGAAGCTTGAAATCAAGAGCTCAATCCTTATATATATATATATATAGGTCAAAAAGAGCTTTAGATATAAAATATTCATCAACATCTTGAGACTATAACCAACATCTCTGTATTTGAACAAAGCAAATAACTTACAGATAAAGCCATCTTGATTTTCTTGGTATATACAAACAATCTTAATTAGATCTGAGCTCTTTCCAAGAATGCTCATGTCTGCAACCATTTGGCGTACTCGGTTCAACTCAATCTTAAAAAAAAGGAGATAGGTATAAATATGTTAATGACAGTTACCCGAAATTGAAGGCATAAAAGGTTTAGAGTACTAACCTTATAGAGCTGAATCTTATTATGATTTTTTGCCACAGTACATTTGCAGGAAACAGTTGATTTTGTCCTCAAGTTATCGGAAAGCTACAAAACACAAGGATAAAGAAAGAATACAGTAGGACGAAGACATTTTTTAGAAGCTTGAAAGTAGCATATACCTTAACATAGTACAGTTCTTTCCCTTGCACATATTCTAGTCCAAGATTCTCCACTACTCGATTTTCTACATAGTCCATATATGAAGAAGGAACATCCGTATGGAAAGATCCTTTCATTTTTCTCAAAGTAGTTTCAGTCAATGAGTTTAGTTTTAGGCTATCTTTACCAATTGAAGAAGTCCTGCATCACAAAGAACATGACAAGTATTTTGAAACACACATTTGTATACGAATAACCTAACAAAATAATGCTTCAAACACAACAAAGTAAGCAGCATGATACATATAATATATGAGGTGCTTGATACATGCTATAAAAGATACGAAGTGTTGTTTCTCAGAACAGAGAAGTGTTAAAATTTCTAATTAATATGTAATGACCCTAAAGGTCATTTTTGGAAATTTTCATAAAATGACTGTTTTACCCCTCCCGATAGTTGCCCCGAGTCCTAATTGTTGTATTTTCGAAGTTGGTTTGAAGGAAAATTGATGAAAAGTTGAGTTTTTGGAAAGTTGAGTTTTTAAGAGTTAAAGTTTGGTTAAAAGTGCTATTTCGAGTCATTTGGAGTTTCGAGACTCGAATCGGATTTCCGTCAATTCCAGCCGTTTTAGAATGTCGAAACGGGTCTATGAGAATTTACGGAGTCGAATTTGGAGTTAAAACGAAGATTTGAGGTCCTAAGTTGCAAAAATTGTGAAATTTTGATCAAGAGTTGACTTTGGTCAACAAACGAGGTTCCGGTGCTCGAAATGGAATTCCGAGGGCACCGTTGGATTCAGGGGGTGATTCTAAGTCTAGAATGAGTCTTGGTTGAATTTTAGAGGCCCCGAGTGCGTTTCGAGTTTTTGAGCCTAAAGTTAGTTTCTTGACGCCTTATCGGATACCGGGGCAAGGAGACCTCGAATTCAAATTCTGACGATTTCATTGAGTCCGAAATGTCATTTTCAAGCTAGTAGCATATTTGGTTTGTGTTCGGGAAGTGCCAAATGAGTTTTGGGTGAGCTTTTAAGCTTCTTGGATGCTTTGACACTATTTCAGCAAATTGTGGCAACTAAAGGGTTCATTATTAGTTTTAAAGGTCGAAAAAAATTTTCGAAGGTTCTTAAATTTTGAGCATGAATTATAGGACTTATCTGCAAATTTTGGTGCATTTTCGCTAACCCGAGATTGGACTTTTATCGCAAATAAGAAATAATTGTTTACCGAGTAGAAATGATATTTGACTGGGCAAACGAGCATGAAATTGAGCTCCGATTGAACGAGCAGGTCCGTATCATTATTTAAGACATTTACAAAAAAGAATCGGGTCATTTCACTATCGTATGAGGAAATTACGGCCTTTTTAGTGAAAGATTAACTGCTGTTTTTCTGGTGCATAACAGCCATGTACTGTTATAAAAATCTCAGACTGTGTTCATTTGGTATTTTGAGCATATCGGGAGTTCTAGAGATCGGAATGGAGTGATTCTTACGGGTTTCTTCTTGAATTAATATGAGGGTTAGTATTCAATCTTCAATTCGACATTTTCTCATAATTTCTTTATCTGGTTTTATTTTCCCTATCCGTAAACCTCTTGGAAAAATTGGGGTTTTATCGATTTGGACTCCCTTTTTGATGAAAAAGGTATATTTACGATCCTTATGTTATGGGTAAACTGATTTTAACATAAAATTATTGATTCATCGATTATTTTCATCATATTAACCGTGTACAATTTGGACTTTCCCGGTAAAGTTAAAGTTTGATAAATTGAGAATTTCAAGGTCGATCTTAACTCCGTTTTTGATGAAATTTCATATTTGAACTTATCTAAGCATGAGTAAGTTGTTTTTCAAGAGATATTTCATTTTCGAGTCGGGGTTTTGGATCCGAATATTTTAGGCTTCTTCAAGAACGTGGATTTTTCCTTCAAATTGAGTTTGTGAATTGATTTCAACTCCGTTTTCAAATTGGTTTTCACCATTAGCTTCCAAATACTTTAAGGATCATTTTACATCAAAAATTTCCAGATTTGGGTATCGTTTTTCGGTATGAGACTTTTGGACCGTTTTGCCCTTTTTCCCTAAATTTCTTGATTTTGGTGTCATTGGACTCGAATTGTGATTGTGAATAATTGTTTGAATAGATTATCGTGATCCGGATTATACTCGGAAAGGAAAGGGCTCAAGTCAAGTAACTTTTGGAGTTCGTTTTAAGGCAAGTGGCTTCCAAACTTTGTAAAACTCTTAGACTACGCATGACTACTTTCCTAATTGTGTTGGGGAGTAATGGGGATTGAGGATGGGTTTTATTTGTTGATTGGAATTGTTGTAAATGAAAGATGGGGAATAAAACGAGCTAAATGTGTTATATGTGACTTGAATTTGTTGAATAAGTCATGTGATAACTGATATTGAGGGGATAGAAGAGCATGAGTAGGCTATGATTGATACAGACATTGATGTTGAAACAGATGATGTGTAATACTATGATGTGATCGTGATATGATTGTGATTGATGACATGTGCATATTCATTATTCATCCCATGTGTGAACTATCTGTTGCATGAGTTTTGAGACACTGATATGAGGATGGATGGATATGAGACACAGTTGAGACTAGCTCCGGCTAGCGATTTGGATGCCGATGGGATCTGGTTCCGGCGGTGATACATGGTCCATGTGTGGCCCCCATGGGTTCTGATTTGAGTATTCAGCGCGGACTGATTACGTCAACAGATGTGTATCGTAGGACAGACATGCATCACGACTACATGACATCATTATTGCATTTTGCATCGCATTTGCCTTATCTTTGTCTGTGATGTGTGGATTGTATCGGTTTACCCTTCTTATGTGGAATTTGATCTACTTGCTCTTATTTGTTGATCTGAGGTTGATGAGGATATACTGTTGGTTCTGGCTGTTGAATATGATCTGTTTAGTATAGGTTGGTTGGTTTGCTGCTAGATTGAAGTTTCGGTGGTTCGGTTGGGGTTGAAAGGGGTTGTTTGTAGCTGCTAGTTTTGCTTAGTTTAGAGTTACTTGCGAGTACCTGTGGTTTTCGGTACTCACCCTTGCTTCTACACAATTGTGTAGGTTGACAGCTCTCTCAGATTCGGCTTAGTATTTTCTTTAGCAGATTGAGCTTTGGGACATACTCGAGAGGTAGCGGTTCATTCCAGACGTGCCCTTGAGTTATCTTTACTTTCAGTTTTGTTCTATTCGAGAACTATACTCTGAGACTTGTATATTTTTATTCGAATTCTGTATTTAGAGGTTTGTACATGTGACAACCAAATTTTGGATAGTGTTGAGTCTTAATTAAAATCTTCCGCTTATTTATTATCTTTTATTCTCGTATTTCTACTTCTCTATCGTTGTGGTTGGGTTAGGCTGACGTGTCCGGTGGGAAATGGACACGTGCCATCACATCCGGATTTGGGGCGTGACAAGAAAAGTGTTAAAATTTCTAATTAACGCGACCGTAAAAGCATAACATGTGAACTAAATGAAGAAGATTGTCTGACCCATAAAAGAGAACTTTTCCAAAACGAGCAACTATAGACGGTTTTACTTGTGCCATATCAGCTTCCTCCATCTCACGTTTCATATGTTGAAATGACAAAAGCAAATCCTTCTTCACATTTGCGGCAATCAAAAGCCATGGTGTTTCTATAAGCTCTTTCTTTATTCCTTCACTGCAACCTATAAAATTATAGATATATAGCTTAATGAGCATCACTAAAGCAAAGGCGAACCCATGATTTGAAGACGATGAGTGCACCACCAACGTTGGCAAATGCACGTTAGTGTATGATGCTTTTACTAAATATAAAATATAAAACTAATATACTAACGTATAAATATGAATTAAATGACTCTACTAGATAAAATTTGCTTTGTAAGTGATGGCTTTGAACTTCAGTTTGTAAGGGGTGGTTTTGAACTTCAGTTTATCCCTTATTTAGTAAAATTATCGAGAGACATTTTAGTCTATATTTTCAATTATTTTTGCTGCATTATTTTTATATAAAAAACCAACAATTGTATCAATTAAAGCAACATAAAAATAGAAAAATCCTCTGAAAAAAATGCTTTTCGATTTGCCCTGTTTACCTCCATTAGGAAAATTAGTTTTTTCCAAGGTTTTCTCAGATATTAGACACAACACAGCCAAAATTGAATTCATCTTGTAGGTCACGTTCAAGAAGTTAAAAACACTATACAGACACAAAACTAAAAACAATTAATGAAGCATTTGCCAAAAAGAAAAAAGTTATAAGAAGCAAATTGAGTAAATATCTTAAAATGCCACTCAACAAAACTCTGTTCATTTAACTTGTTTTGTATCAATAAAGTTACTCAATTTAGTATTTTTATCTTATAAAATCACTCAATCAAATTTATCATAAAAACACATTTCAGCCCTAACATTTTGATATATAGTACCTTGATGAGTTGAAACCAAAGAGAGAGGATGTAGGCCTGCTTTTGTATCAAAGGACTCTGGTGAAAGAGGTTGGAAGCTGACAAGAGATGAAAATCTCAACTCATCAGCAAAGCCAACAGAGAACCATTTTAAGAGAGTATGATCAGTATAACCGACGTTCCGAGTATCCCTTCTCTTGTTGAAAACAGATCTCATGACAGACTCCGGTGCCGGAGTTGGTTCAAGCGGTGGCGAGCCCTTTGTTTGCCTCTTGT